ACCACTTCTTGGGTCTCTAAGAAAGGTGGCCCCTTACTCTCCATCCTGGTGGGAATTAGCACCAAGGCTGGGGCAGCAGGGGTCACCACAGGAGCAACTTGGCTAACACCTCCACCAGATTAGCTGGATCCAGACTGCAGGCCTCCCTCGACATCCTTGAAAATCAGATCAACTGTCCTTTAAAATAGGTGGGGCTTAAACATGCCAACCACTGCCCAAGGGGCTATCTGCACCCTGTTCCAAGAAGAATGCTGCTTTGGGGCCAGTCATACTGGGCAGGCACAACACCATATTCAGCATTTCTTGAATGTTGAATTTTTTCTCCAGACAACTTCAGGCCCAAGCTAAAAGGGGTTGGAAATTTTGGCCTAATGTCTGGTCATGGAGATCCTGGCTCTCCTACCTTCTAGACTCTTACTACTTCTCTTTGAACCATGCGTCTTTAATGTCCTTGCCCATTCCGTTGCTAGCAGATTACATGTTGTTCAGCTCCAGGTGGTCTTCTATTTTTTAAAATATGTATGTATTTATTTGAAAGGCAGAGTTACAGAGAGGCAGAGGCAGAGAGAGAGAGAGAGAGAGAAAGAGAGAGAGAGAGGCAGACAGACAGACAGATCTTCCATCTGCTGGTTCACTCCCCAGGTAGCCACAATGGCTGGAGCTGGACTGTTCTGAAGCTAGGATCCAGGAGCTTCTTCTGGGTCTCCCACACTGGTGCGGCCCAAGGACTTGGGCCATCTTCTACTGCTTTCCTAGGCCACAGCAGAGAGCTAGATCGGAAGTGGAGCAGCCAGGACTCAAATCTGGTGCCCATATGGGATGCTGGCACTGCAGGCAGTGGCTTTACTGGCTATACCACAGTGCCAGCCCCTCCAGGTGATAGTAAGGTAGGGGTTCTGGCCCACCCCGTCGGGTGATATGACTGGTCCTCTAGATTGTGTGGGATGATCTTTTGCCAGGCCATTGTCAAACACCACGGGAAAGACAGCACAAGAAGAATACCCATAAGCTGTTGTATGCCCCTATGCCATCAGGAAGAAACTAGAGGAGACTGATTTCCACCCATGCTATCCCTATACGATTTATGGGTTAATTCTCTTGAGGGAGGAGTGTTAGTTTAGGCCGAAAGACATATATGAACCCCTGTGTGCAAGAAGAAAGAATGACAGTTCATGCAGGAAGGGCCTGCATGTATTAAAAGCAGCCCAATGCTTGCAAATCAAAATTCTTGCCCAGTCTCATTCCAGGAGATGTTCCGTGTCCTGGGAACCTTCCTCCTTGGTAACATTCCAGGAGAAGTCCAGTGCCCCAGGAATCTTCCTGCTCAATAACATTCCAAAGGAGGGAAGAATGGAAATTGGCAGGAAAAAAATCATTCTATACTCATAAAAACCCCAGTCTACACACAGCCAGGGCACCCAGTCCTCTGCCTGTCTGGTCTGTCAGGTATGAGCCTCATTAAACTTCACCAGCTTGCTTATTGCCAACCTCTGTCTCTCATATGAATGCTTTCCTATAGGGAGATCAGGCCCGGAGACTGTTCCAGAATGAAGTTTCTCACTCCATTATTCAATATGTATTTACTCAACACTGTTTTCTAGACCTCTCCTCTCTCTCTCTCCTCTTTGGGGAGTAAAGAGCTGAATGATACCATGAAGACCTCGTAACCTAGAGGTGACAGACTGGAACATGAACAGTGATTATATGGTGAGTGTTGCTCCCCCATTCGCAGAGGAACGACACTGGACCCTGCGCTGTTCTTTTGTCTGCTCGGCCCTTCCGGGTTTGCTGCTGGTTCTTCCCGGGTTGGCTGCCAACCCCTCCACCTCCATGGAGGGGCAGCTCCCCCTGCCACTTTCCCCACTTCCGCGGAGGAGCGGCACACCATCGGCCGGCTCTCTTGGGGGTTGCTCAGATGTTATCCGGATGTTCCCTGGTGCATGTTGTCTCTCTCCTCCTTTATAGTCCTCTTCCACCAATCCCAACTCTGCTACCCACACGCCGAGCACGCTGCTCTCCTCCCATCAGGAGCAGGATCAGCTCCTGCAGCTTGTCAAACTGATGAGGCAGCTGCGTAGAGGTTGTTTGGTCTCTTTCTCTCAGCGCCATATTGTGGGAGAGCAGATGCATAGAATAAGTCTTAATTCCAGTAACTTAGTCTAGTCTCAGTTGCTCCCCACAGTGAGTCTCACAGGTGTGTTTAAAGTGCACAAGTGGGTGTTTAGTGATACAGATACCTGTCTCCTTCATCAGAGTGCCTGGATTTGATTCCTAGCTCCAATTCCTGACCTGTTTCCTGCAGCTCCTAGGAGGCAGCAAAGGCAGCTCAAGTAGTTGGGTTCCTCCTAACCATGTGGGAGACTGGGATTACATTCCTGGCCCCTGGCTTTGTCTCCAGCCCATCCCCAGCCATTGCAGGCATTTGGGGTGTGAAGTAGCAGATGGGGACTCTCTCTCTCTCTCTGTCTTTATCTGCCTTCAAGTAAATAGAAACAAATAAAGTGCTACGGAAGCGAAGAGGACAGTGCACTGCCCATGCTGGAGTAAGCAGGCCCAGGCAAGGTTTCAGAGATGGCACAGAAGCTCATGTAGGTTCTATTCGATGCTAACTGAATGGCTGCTATATTTACTAACTCTCTGCCTACACAGATTTCGTTCCCACAAGACCTTCCAGAGAGTCATTTGTGTCCATTTTACAAAGCAAAAGACTGAGGACACAAAGGTTGAGTAACTTGCTCAAAGCCACACAGCTATTAAGTGATGGTGCTAGAGTTGCAACTCTCACCATCCCAGCTCCATAGTGATGGGCTTTGGAAAGCTTTGGAAGATGTAAAGGAACTTTCTTGTGTGGGACAAGGTGGGCTAGGAGCAAGGAGAACCAGGCAAATACAATAAACTTGGTTATTTAAGATCGGAGGTGAGGGCCCGGCACTGTGATATAGCAGGTAAAGCTGCCTCCTGCAGTACTGGCATCCCATATGGGCACCAGTTCGAGTCCTGGCTGCTCCACTTCTGATCCAGCTCTCTGCTATGGCCTGGGAAAGCAGTAGAAGATGGCCCAAGTCCTTGGGACCCTGCACCTGCGTGGGAGACCTGGAGAAAGCTGCTGGCTCCTGGCTTCAGATCAGCAGAGCTCAGCTGTTGCGGCCATCTGGGGTGTGAACCAGCGGACGGAAGACCTTTCTCTCTCTGCCTCTCCTTCTCTCTCTGTGTAACTCTGACTTTCAAATAATATAAATAAATCTTTAAAAAAAAAAAAAAGATCGGAGGTGTAAATTAAAACTACTAAACAGGCCGGCGCTGCGGCTCACTAGGCTAATCCTCCACCTTGCGGCACCAGCACACCGGGTTCTAATCCCGGTCGGGGCGCCAGATTCTGTTCCGGTTGCCCCTCTCCCAGGCCAGCTCTCTGCTGTGGCCCGGGAGTGCAGTGGAGGATGGCTCAGGTGCTTGGGCCCTGCACCCCATGGGAGACCAGGAGGAAGAACCTGGCTCCTAGCTTCGGATCAGCGAGGTGCGCCAGCCTCAGCAGCCATTGGGGGATGAACCAATGGAAAAGGAAGACCTTTCTCTCTCTCTCTCTCTCTCACTGTCCACTCTGCCTGTCTAAATAAAATAAAATAAAATAAAATAACTACTAAACAAAGTGGGCTTGAATATCCATAAAGATGGAATCACATATGGGTTGTACCATTTGACTGACTTGGGTATGGTTTTGTGCAAATCCCTTTGCTTAATTATTATTAAATTCTAAGAGATCCAACTTCTTGGTAACATTAGAATTCCTACTTAGTTCCTCAGCATTGTTGTGAGTATTAGGAGCAGATGCTGTAACCGATCTTCCAGTGGGTGCTCCTGAAAATCTATGCATGTTCCTGGCTGATTCAATCTCAGAGTAGGTTTCCCAGGCCTTATCCAGCTACCAGTTTGCCACCTGAGTCCATGATTTGCCTTTGATCTTGCCTAGGGGATAACACATGGATTCTCCAAAACCAAGCATTAGCACTGGAGTCTGGTGGGAGGTCAGTAAAACAAATCATTTAACAAACAGAACAGTCTAATATTGCTTCCGGGTCCACCAAGGTCTAACACGTGCCTCGAGATCACCCACCTTGATGCATTTCCAGGTGGAAATACAGCAGTGTTGCTGCTTCTCTTTCTTAAGATTTATATATTTATGGGAGGCCGGCACCGTGGCTCAGTAGGCTAATCCTCCGCCTGTGGCGCCAACACACCGTGTTCTAGTCCCGGTAGGGGCGCCAGATTCTGTCCAGGTTGCTCCTCTTCCAGGCCAGCTCTCTGCTATGGCCCGGGAGTGCAGTGGACGATGGCCCAAGTCCTCCCCGGCGGCCATTGGAGGGTGAACCAACGGCAAAGGAAGACCTTTCTCTCTGTCTCTCTCTCTCTCTGTCTACTCTGCCTGTCAACAGCAAAGGAAGACCTTTCTCTCTGTCTCTCTCTCTCTCACTGTCCACTCTGCCTGTCAAAAAAAAAAAAAAATTAAATATTTATTGGAAAGGCAGAGTTACGGAGAGCACGATGAATTTTCCACCTGCTGGTTCACTCCCCAAATGGCCACTGTGGCCAGGGCCGGGCCAGGATGAAGCCAGGAACTCCATCCAGGTCTCCCATAGGGGTGCAGGGCCCATTTTACACTGCCTTAATGATAATGCCAGGCGCATTATCAGGGAGCTGGAAAGCAGTGGGGCAGCCCGGACTCCAACTAGGGCTCCTATGGGATGCAGGGGGAGTTGCAGCGGGCTCAGCTACTCTTCTTTGCCATCTCTACAAAGCTTGTTGGATGGCGTTCACTCCAGTTAGCCTCGCCCGATTTTTTTTTAAATCTCTTCCCTGTCAGTACACTCACAGGGTGCATCAGCCAGGGCACCCGTTCCCAAGTGCGCACGAGGCCGCACCTCCTCCGGTCCGCAGAGCCAGGGGCGGCCGCGCGGGGCACGCCGGGGCCGGCCAGGTGGGCAGGTACCTGGGCGGGGCGTGCCGTGGTTGGCGGCGGGGCGAGGGGCGGCGGCCGCCGCGGCCCAGACCCGGAAGAGCCGTCGGCTCGGCGAGCGCAACAGGCTGCTTGCCGAGGGACCAGCCCCGCGATGGACAAGCTGAAGAAGGTGCTGAGCGGGCAGGACACCGAGGACCGCAGCGGTCTGTCCGAGGTGGGTATGCCCGGGCCGGCCGCACCTCGCCGGCCCCCGACTGTCCCCAGCCGATGGCCGTGCCCCCGGCCCGGGCCTCCGAAGTCGGCGCCGGCGGATGCGGGCGGGAAAGCCGGGCAGGACTTCCAGGGTTCCTTGGAAAGCAGCTCTGCCCCTGTTGCTTCCTCCCCGCTACCCCACTGCGGGCCTCCGCTAGGACCCCCGACCCAGGGGACGGGAGCGCAGGAGCTTTTTAGCACGGGGCTTGTCGCCCTCTGTGTCCTGTTTTGTTCTGCGCCCGGTCAGCCTTCTCAGCTTCATTTCCCGTAAAGAGGGGGCGGCGCTGGAGGGAGAGCTCGGAAGAGTCTGCGAGAGCGAGCGAGCTGGCGTGCAGGCCCTGGGCTGGGGGCGCTGAGCCGAGGCGGAGAGAGCCGTGGCCCGGAAGGTGGCTGGTCCGGGCTGGCGGGGCTGAGGCTTCCCGGTTCGCTGCCCCGCGCCCGCCTCGGCTGCACAACTGGCTCCACGAGCAAACCGCGAACTCCCGGGGGACAGGGGCCAACCCCCATCCCCTATGCCTCTCTGTTCACGCCGTCTGCGCCTAGGCTCTGCCCGCGCCTTTGTTTATTTTTGATGGAGCAGAGAAACGCGGTCGCTAATGCCCGGAGCTCTAGAACCGCACAGCATCGTGTTTCTGTTTTGAGTGCTTTTTATAGCTTTGGTTTTCGTTTGGCGTTCTGGATGGCAGACAGCGTTTTCCTCTGCTGTTTGGTGCATTCCGTAGTCTCACTTTTCCCACCTGTGAAGTTAAGGACGTTGTGCAAGATGATGCACCTGCTTTCGGCTGGGAACTCGAGTTTTCGCTGTAGCTTGAGTCTGTTTTCTCAGCACGCCGCTTTCCCGCTTGGGGGATTGCTGATTTTATAATGCGTGTTGTTTTGTATGTTGCTAGTACCTCCACTCCCTCCGTGAAATCTCAGTGTAAAATCTGTTCTTTGAATCTTTGCTTTGAAGGGGTGAACACTCTAAGAGTCAAGGGTTAGCAAAAATTGAAGTTTGACTGTTTTTTTTTTTTTTTTTTAAAGATTTTTATTTACTTATTTGAGAGGTAGAGTTACTGAGAGAGAGAGAGAGAGAGAGAGAGAGAGGTCCTCTGTCCGCTGGTTCACTCCCCAGATAGCCACAACAGCTGGAGCTGAGCTGATCTGAAGCCAGGAGCTTCCTCTGGGTCTCCCACTTAGGTGCAGGGGCCCAAGCACTTGGTCCATCCTACACTGTTTTCCCAGGCCATAGCAGAAAGCTGGATCCAAAGAGGAGCAGCCAAAACTTGACCCAACACCCATATGGGATCCCAGCAATGCAGGCGGAGGCTTAGCCCACTACGCCACAGCGCCAGCCCCAAAGTTTAAAAACAGTTTATTTATTTGAAAGGCAGGGAGAGAGAGAGAGAGAGATCTTCCATCTGTTGGTTCATTCCCCAAGTGTCAGCAACAGTTAGGGTGGGCCGGGCTGAAGCCAGGAGCCTGGAACTCCATCTGGATCTTCCCGTGGGTGGCAGAACCCAAGTACTTGGGCAATCATATGCCATCTTCCCAGGGTGTGCATCACAGGAAGCTGGATGGGAACCAGGCAGGACTCAATCTCAGGCCCTCCAGTGTGGGATGTGGGCATCCCCAGCCTGATGTGCTTGGGATGACGTGTTCACTGGTTTGGCTTTTCTGACATTGCAACACAGCTCTGTTGGTTTTAAAAAATTTATGACCTTTATTAATTGGCCAAAGCTCAGGAGTGATTTGATGGGTTCTTTTTTCTTGATTTCTGGTCTCTTGTGAAGAAAGGTCTGACACTCAGGAAGTTGATCCTTATTGTTCCTGAAAGCCTTGTGGCCCCACTGACTGCCCCCAAACTCTTAGGAGCTGTGGGTACTCAAGAGGGAGACCCTTGGGGCACGCATTGTGGCCCCCAGCATTCTGTATCTGAAGGCTGGTTCAAGTCTTGGCTGCTCCGCTTCTGATCCGTTCTTCCTGCTAATGCAACTGGGAAAGCAGCAGAAGATGGCCCGAGTAACTGGGTCCTTGTCACCCATGTGGGAGACCTGGCTGGAGTTCCAAGCTGGGCCCAGCCCTGGTTGTTGTGGGCATTAGGGGAGTGAACCAGTGGATGAAAGATCTCTCTCTCTCTCTCTCTCGTCTGCCTTTCCAATAGTTCAGTAAATCTTAGAAAAAGAGGGTGACCCTTTCTCCTCCTGAAGACTCTTGGGGGTGATGTGGATATTATGCATTAGAAAGTCTTCGTGAGGCAGTGGACGGGCCCTCAGAAGTGCAGTTGGGAAACATAAATGCTGTTTGTTTTTCCCCTGAAGTGGTGGATGCCGTGGAGGGCTTTAATGTGTTGTCAGTGCACACATGTATTAAATCTATTTTACAAAGAGTGGATGCCCCTCTCTCGTTCTGAAATACGAGTCCCTCTGAGTGAGATTCATTTTGTGTGCTTCTTGTGTTTCCTCGGAAACATCTTGTAGCCGGCAGACGTGTTTTCAGGGCTGTCTTGGCTTAGTTTTTACTGCCTAGGCTAGGTCCTCCTTGAAAATGCCGGCACTGATGCAGTGGTGTCGCGTTTTCATGGGCGGCTTCTGGGGGCAGATGTTTGTGTGGTGTGGCGAGTTGGACTAGGGACCCTTAGAATTTCTTGAAATTCAATTACAGAACCTGGCAGAGGGCACCCGAAGCGAGCACCTTTGATATCTTTCTTTTAAAGCCAGCCAGCCAGCAGAGTATGACTAGTTCTGTCCCCCGTCCCCGCCCCCGCCTCTCCTGGCAGCTGTAGGATTTGCCTGGCAGTGCTGATCATAAGCAGCCGTGGGATGATACCTCATCAGTGCTGATTGTACCTCATCTTCCTGAACACACCTTGGGTCCTTAGTCCGGACCGACTGCTTTCTGGAAGTACTGGTTTTATGTTTTCTATCAAGGATGCTAGACGTGGAAGGCATGAATGAGAAGGGCTGGGAGAAAGCAATGTCCCATTCTCATCTTCTTCTGGTTTCTCCCTGTTTGCCCAAACAATTCTGAGCCTTGCTTTTTTGGCAAGAGCCCTTTTCCTCTCCACCTCCCGGAGTCAAAGCACCTTTGTGCGTAGCTGCCAGTTGGAATGCCAGTGAGCACATGGCCTGCAAATTCTTCCAGGTGTGAGTTTACCCACTCTGATTCCCAAAATGGTGCACTGGCGTAGCTTTCAGTGACCGTGAATTTAGAGGGACTTTTTACACTCACTGTTTTCCAAAATTGGCATGATGTTTTTCTTTCACTGAGTCCAGTGTGAAGAAGTGGCCTCCTTCTGCGCGCAGGTGGCCAGGAGCAAGAACCTGTAGCAGCACGTGGAGGGAAACAAGGGTGAAATGACCCACCCCGGACCCTTGCCCCATTTGGCCAGAAAGGCAGCATTTGGGTGGCTTCAGCTTGAGGGACCTATGGAGCCAAAGTGGTGCTTCCCTCTCTGAAGTGAGAGCCAGAGACAGGTTTTGGTGGAACTGCTTCCTGTCGCCAGTGGTTTTGAGGTTTATGCGGGCTGGGATCTCACTGTCCTTTTGGGACCTCTACAGGTCTACAGCCTCTTCAGGCTAAGGCTAATTCAAATTTTCTACCAAACCTTATGAGACGTATAGTCTTTTTTAAAAAATATTTGTTTGAAAGGCAGAGCTACAGAGAGGCAGAGAGGGAGAGAAAGAGAGAGAGAGAGGTGTCTTCTATCCGCTGGTCCAGTCCCCAAAAGGCCGCAACGGCTGGAGCTGGGCCCATCTGAAGCCAGGAGCCAGGAGTTCTTCCAGGTCTCCCACGCAGGTGGAAGGGCCCAAGGACTTGGGCCATCTTCCACTGCTTTCCCAGGCCACAACAGAGAGCTGGTGCAGAAGTGGAGCAGCTGGGTCTTGAACTGGAGCCCATATGGGATGCCACACTGCAGGCGGCAGCTTTACCTGCTACGCCACAGTGCCAGCCCAGGGCTTATAGTCTTAAGAAAGAGCGGATCCTTTTCAATATCTCTGTTGACGCCAGGTAGTACTCAGGCAACAACCCCAGTCCAATCCAGTCCTGCCATCATGCTTCTCTCCTACACACAGCTCGGGTCTTTTTCCCCACCCTAGCAAGGCAAGTTCTTTGGTTCTTGCCTGAGTAGGAAGAGGGGTGGCTGGTGGGGTCAGTCATGCTGTAAGTTGAAGACAGACCCATCTCACAGGGTGCATTTTGGAACCCACGGAGGTTCTACAAAGCAGACTGCTCAGCATGGAGTCCAATAGTTCTGCTGTCAGGTCCCTAGATGTGCTTCTGGGTAGGGCCACACAGTGCCAGGAGTTCCTGCAAGTGTTCTGAGAGTGTGTGTGTATTGTGTGTGTGTGTGTGCATGCATGTGCATGTGCACATGGTGTTGCAGTGCTAGAAGCCCAACTTCCGTTTCAGTATGTGAGTCTATGTGATAGAAAGGGACTCTTTTCTGATGACCTAAATTCCTTTCTCCTGGGTGGAGATCAAGCCATTCTGTAATAACACCTGCCACCCCGGTGGAGCCTCTGGTCCCTCTCTGCCAAGCTGCTGGTCGGACAGGAAGTTGGGAGACAGGATTGAAAACAACTCCCTGAGCTGGGGCAGCCAAGGCAGAGGGAGCTGTCCGTCTAGTGACTCCTATAGCCTCTGCTGCCACCTGCCTTCCTCCATCGGCCAGGTGGAAGTGGGGCAGGCAACGCCGACCACAGTGTCTGATGGAGACTGTGCTGGCTACACAAGCAGAGCCCTTTGTGGGCATGTGCTGGGCCTGGCTGCCCTGCCTTGCTTTGGTTTCTCTATGGCAACTGTCTGTGTGCAGCTTGGGGCAGCCGTGCCCACCCGTATCAGGTGGACAGACTGGGAAGGTCTCTGACGTGGGGAAAAAAGTGTTGAGGCTCTCCTGTTTTCATAGAGTTTTCCTGGAAATCATGGCTTCTCCTGAACTCTGCCCTGGGCAAGAGTCAGAATGGGCAAGTCAGTGATTGATTAACTAGGATCTGTCCCACACTTGGGTGACTTGGCTGATGCCGGCATCCTGTGAGCGCAAAATCATCATCAAGGGTGAAGAATGTGAACGCGTCTCCTGGTAAGGACGGGAGCCGTCACCCTCCGAGGTCCCACAAGTGCCACTGCCCCAGCCTGGCTCCTGGGCGTAGGAGCGGGGACCCGGGCACCCAGCCCCCTGAGCGCCGTCTGCTGCAGCCTCGCTGGAGGAGCCCATGGCTTCCTGGCTGCTAGGAGGCTTTGGGCAACTCCAGGCGCTGCTGTCCTGCCTCCGTGTTTGTGAAATGGCTTGAGATGTTCAGTCACCTGCAGGGTGAGCTCTTATCAGCTGCTGGAGAGGAGATTCATGTCTGGATCAGAGCTCCCAGCTCTGATAAGAGCTGGATTCCGTGACGCCTGTGGCTATGAGCAGGTCGGATTCTGTGTTCCCTGCCTGCCGCAGTACAAGCTAACCCTGCCTCTGGATTTAATGACGTGCTTGGTTTGTTTTTCCTAAGTGTGCGTGGACATAATATGAGTGTGTCATTCTTCTTTAAAATTTCAGGTGGTTGAGGCATCTACGCTCAGCTGGGGTACCAGAGTTAAAGGCTTCATCGCATGCTTTGCAATAGGAATTCTCTGCTCATTGCTGGTAAGATCTCCCTCCCACCGCTGTCTTTACCCCCAGCCTCCATTTGCTGTGTCTTTACCCTTCATCCACCTCCATTTCTTGTTTGCCCTTCGCTAAAATGCATGAATTAAGAGGAGGGGGAGGTAAGGGAGGCGGGCAGCAAAAGGCTCATCATGGCTGCCTCCCAGCTCCTGGTTTTGTGGCAGGGCTCCGAGGGGCTGCTCATGGCAAATGCCCTGTGCTTTACTTTGCAGGGGACTCTTCTGCTGTGGGTGCCCAGGAAGGGACTGTCCCTCTTCGCAGTGTTCTATACCTTTGGTAACATCGCATCAATTGGGAGGTAACCCAGTCGTTAGATGGGAAAGTGGCTGTGGAGTGGGCTTGAGGGAGGCGGTGGAGGAGGGTGCCCAGTACTTCCATTGGTTTTAAGAAGAACGAGATAGTTAGGATACATTGCATTTGTATCCTGTTATTTTGGAACATTTCATATCTTAGTTTATCTGTGAAACACCCCTGGGAGAAAGCAGGGACTACGTTACCACTGTGGTTCTACATGTGAAGCAGCTGTGGCATACAGCAGGTGAATGATTTCTGTGTCGTTTACAACACGGTTCTCCCCATTGCTCTCTTTCTGCTGTGGTCAGGGGCTGAGTTGAGGGCTTTCAGAGGGCTCGCCAGGCCAGCGGCCATGAGGGAAACTGGTCGTTATTTAGTGTCGGACCGTTTTGGACCCAAGTTTCCATCCAGATGGGCAGGGCGTCTGATGGATCACTTCCTGGAGGTGGGCGGGCCATGTCGTGTGCAGCAGGTGCACAGACATCCCAGGTCAAGCTCATGCTCATTCACTCTAATGCTCCAGTGTGGATCTTGCCTCTGCAGCTCCGGTTGGTGGCCTGCTCATTACCTGAATGGCCCCCAGGAGCCTCAGCTCAGTTGTCCTTCCCTCCTATCTCTATAAACACCCTCAGGGTCCTGGGAATCCAAGTTTCCTCTTCTCCCATGTGTTGACTTGTCTTCACTGGTTCCTTCTTCCTTGTCCCATGCTGTTTGCCCCTTACCGATGGACTTTGCTCAGTGGGTGAGTCTGGGTCACCCTGCAGGTACCAAGGCAAGTACAGTGTGGTCCCTGCTGTAGTACAGCTCAATGATTGGCTGGCAGTTGGACCCGGCACCATGTGGAAAGAGAGATGCCCAAGGAGTGGAAGCTGGCTGGCCCCACCTGACCTGGGTGGTCCAGGAGGGCTTCCTAGGGAAGCTGAGACTGGAGCTGGCCTTACCTTTGCCTTGGATCGTTTCCCACCTGAACTCCTAGAAGATGCCTCTGATGGGTTCCTCAGCCTGCCCTGTGGCTCCTCTCCAGGCCATTTTCTGCTGAGCTGTCGAGTCTCAATTAAAGCCCTGCCTAACCCCCTCAAGTGGCTCCCTGCCCTTCAACCTGTGTACGAAAAGGGTCCTAGGAGATCTGGCTTCACCCAGGCCCGGCTCCACACCCCTGTACTCCCAGCCAGGCTGCAACCCTCGTATTTCTCCCAGCGTCTCTGTGCCTTTGCTGGGACCATTTGTTCCACTTGGAGTGTTGTCTCCTCAGTACTTCCCCCCATTGCTGGGCAGAGGCACAGAGAGGTCTTCCATCCACTGGTTCACTCTCCAATGGCCACAATGGCTGGAGCTGGGCTGATCCGAAGCCAGGAGCCTGGAGCTTCTTCTAGGTCTCCCATGTGGGTGCAGGGGCCCAAGCACTTGGGCCATCTTCCACTGCTTTCCCAGCACATTAGCAGGGAGCTGGATTAGAAGTGGAGTAGCCAGGACTCTAAACCGTGCCCTTATGGGATGGCGGCACTGCAGGTGGCAGCTTTACCGCTATGCCATGCCGCAGCACCGGCCCCAAGTCACCTCTTCTGTGACGCTTTCTCTTACTCCTCCTCCCCAGGATTGGTGACTTCCCCCTTTGTGGCTCTTTGTACCCCATACATACTTATGAGACACACAGGTAGAATTTTATCACAGTGACGGTTACAAGTCTGTAAGCCAGTTGAAAGGGGCTGTGCCTGTGTTTTTCTGGTCCTCAGTTGTACCCAAATTTAGCTCTGTGTCTGGCTGAAATGTTAGCCAAATGGTTGAGTGCATGATTCTGGCCATCTTCTTACAACTTAATTTATTAATGTTTGTGACAATCAGATGGTGGCTTTCAGAGTCATCTAATGTTGCCTTTAAAGCTTTCTCAAGCACTAACTTTGGTGGAGGGGGTGGTTTCTGTTAGACAGTGTAGGTTCTAACGGGGCCGGCGCTGTGGCATAGCAGGTAAAGCTGCCGCCTGCAGTGCCGGCATCCCATGTGGTGCTGGTTAGAGTTCCAGCTGCTCCACTTCTGATCCAGCTCTCTGCTATGGCCTGGGAAAGCAGTGGAGGATGGCCCAAGTCCTTGGGTCCCTGCACCCGCGTGGGAGACCTGGAAGAAGCTCCTGGCTCCTGGCTTCGGATTGGCGCAGCTCCAGCCATTGGAGCCATTTGGGGAGTGAACCAGCAGATGGAAGACACCCTTCTCTCTGCTTCTCCTGTCTCTGTGTAACCCTGACTTTCAAATAAATAAATAAACCTTAAAAAAAAAAAACCCAGATAGTATAGGTTCTAATACATAGTCTAGAATGAGCATAAATATATGGGTGTGTTGTTTGGTCCAAAAGATTTGCTATTTAGCAGATCCCAATGGGACAGACTCTTCAGAGCACCATGTAGGGAAATATTAGAGGGAGCAGACTGTTCTTTCTAGCATGCATCTAAGAGCTCATGGTTTTACCTGTAAAAGTTTGCTGTGTTTAATTTTTAAGAACAGCCTTGGCTATTGCTTCTTGTTCTGTATAGGCTGGAGGTACACTCTGAGCTTGGACACTTGAGCTGAGAGTGCAGCCTTGAATTCAGGTTGGAGCTTAATGGCACTTCAGAGAGAAGCAGAATTTTAAATTTTTTATTTTTATTTTTGGTATTGACAGCAGTAGCTGATTTCATCTGCTCACTGACCTGTGTTAAACACTACCTGTGGGGAGCTACCATAGGATGATGCCGGGTGGGTGTTTCCGCAGGATTCAGGAAGCACAGCCGGAAGCTGGCCCTGGTGTGTGGCGTGTTAGGCGTGAGGCAGTGCTTCATGGGTAATGCCGCTTTCTCACCAGCCAGCTCTCAGGTTCAAGCCCTGCAAGGGGGCACGTGACAGACGTCTTTCAGAGCTTGGGATCCAGTTGATGTGGGTTGAGTGTCAGCTCCTGGGGTTCCTAGCTGCGTGATCTTGCATAAATAGATCAACTTTTCTGAGTTTCATCTTCTCATCTCTAAAGTAAGTGTGATAATACCTCACTCGCACAGTTGTTGAGGAGCTGCCGTGAGGTAAGGTTTGCAATATCTGACATTCAGCAAACAGTTGACAGATAATAGACGAAGTTATCATCATGGAAATTACTCCCTGGAGATTATGAAAGAAAATGAGACGTTCTGCTTCTTAACACAACTAACCAGGGCTGTAGGTGTGTTTTTTCTTAAGTTGCCTGAGCCTTGTTGGTTGGTTGGTTTCTGTGGCTAGGTGGGTGTCAGGGAAACCTAACCTGGTGGGATGGCTGGGACTGTGCATTTACAGCTGTGCTCTGTCATGTGCTCATCAGGTGGCCTTGAGTCAGGAACCCCTGGGCTCATCTGGAAAATCAGCATGATAACTGTGCCTGTCCTATAGGTTGTTAGAATAACGTATAAGACGCTCCGCGTCAGCTGCTGTTGCTGCCGTTACTGCCACAGGAAGTCTAGGAGGGGTGACTCCGTGTGCCTGGTGTGGTTCTGTCTGTTCTGATCAGCTCGTGTGTGTTTTCTCTTAGTACCATCTTCCTCATGGGACCGCTGAAGCAGCTCAAGCGCATGTTTGAGCCCACGCGATTGATTGCAACCATCATGGTGCTGGTAAGGCCTGCTTTTTAGTTGCACTTCTCAAATGATTTGGAATTTTTTTCCCTCTTAAACCCAAGGACCTCTATCCTTTTTCCTTTTGTCTTGACCTAACTTATAATTCTGTAACCACAGGGCAGAGGGAGAATTCTTCAAATAATCACCGCACCCCTTTCCCCCTCTGCATTTCAGTCGGGGTCAAGGTACTAGCAGTTCTACATAGAACCTCTAGAGGGCGATGCTCGTCACATAAGCACAACTGCTCGAGTTGCAAGAGAGCTCAGCACACTTGGGCAGTGCTTAGAGGGATTAACTCAGAAACACAAGGTTCATTCTCTAGGGTGGCCTCCAGCCTTCAGGAAGGGCTGCTTATTTGCTCATCATCATTTGACATTGGGATCATATTTCCTCAATTTCACTGGCCTTCCTGAAGGAGAGTGCCCTCTGTGTGGCCCGTCTTCCTTGTGCCCTGCACTGACAACACTGCCTGCAGGTTTTCCATGTCTGCTTGTCCCATTCACCCAGAATGCCTCTCCCTTCTTTGGCCCTTACTCTCCTGTGTGGCATCAGGATCATTCCAGACCACCTTCTGGACTCGTGTTATGATCATTGGTGTCAGAACATTTGGAACTTGATCAACATGTTTTCATTTTTAGCATCATCTGTGTATACCTCATTTGTCCTCCTAGGTAGATTCTTTGAGGCCATGACCACGTCTGCCATGTAATTTGTTTGCTCTTAGAGCACTGATCAAAAGGCTGGACATCAGGAACCATTTAAGATGTATTTCCTGAGTAGTTACTGTACAGAAAGAGGCAGACAAAAGGCATGGCTGGCAGCTTGGACACCCCTTGTTTGTAGACAACTCCAGGTGTAGATGGCCTGCATAAGTCTCTTGTAGAAAGAACTCTCCAAGAGAGGACTTAGGGAAGGAAGTGTTAGGTGGCCTGTGAACTGAAAGCTGGCTTGCTGACTGTGAGATTGACATCTCCTGTTGAGGTAGGTCCTCACATGCCCTTTCTACTCCAACGTTTGGCAAGAGTTAAAATTCAGAGGTTTGCGTTAAACCATGATGTCCTATCATCCTGTAACTTAGCAGACCTAGGAAGACTTAAATTGAGCAGTGCACTTGCCACTTAGGATAACTTTGGAATAAATGTCGTGTTGTTGAAATATTTGCAGAATTAAAAACTTTGGACTTATTAAGTTTCCGTTAGTGTTTTTGAATAAAAAGATGGATGGATGAATGGGTAGACCAGAAATGTGATTTTATTCACTGGGAAGAGTTTTTTTTTTTTTTTAAGAAGACTTGAAAGGAGAGGTGCATCTTTCTCTTTTTAGTCTACATCATACTCTATTGATGAGTTTGATTTCATGGGGATTCATTTTTAAAAGATTTACTTGTTTATTTATTTGAAAGGCTGAATGACAAAGAGAAAAGGGGAGGGAGAGACAGGTCTTCCATCTGCTGGTTCACTCCCCAAGTGGCTGCACTGGCTGGGGCTGGGCCAGGCCAAAGCCAGGAGCCTGAAACTCCACCTGGGTCTTCCATGTGGGAGGCAGGGGCCCAGGTACGTGAGCCGTTATCCACTGCCTTCCCAGGCACATTAACAGGGAGCTGCATCCGAAGTGGAGCAGCTGGGATTTGAACCAGTGATCTGATATGAGATGCCAGTGCCACAAGCCACGATGCTGACCCCTCATGGGGATTTTAACTCTTCTGCTAAATGTGGGTGCTCAGTGGGTTAAATGCTTCAAAATTAGGTTCTGTTTGATCACGATGATAATCAGAGAATCAGATTACTGTGGACCAGCAAGTATTGTGAATTTATCAATACTCTCTCCTGTTTTATTTTTGATTTTTGCCATGTCGTCATCACCATTGTATTCTATAATGTGTCCTTTCTCCTTCCAGGTGTGTTTTGCACTGACCCTGTGTTCTGCCTTTTGGGTGAGTGTCTGTTTTATCTTCCCTTAACCTTTTTGGCTTCTGCCCCTCGTCACACACTTCCTGTAACCGTATCATTTTTCTTTCAGTGGCATAACAAGGGACTTGCGCTCATCTTCTGCATTTTGCAGTCCTTGGCCTTGACGTGGTAAGTAACCTTTAAAACCGTGTCCTCCCACACAGGCCTCTGACTAATGCAGCCAGAGAGATGAAACCCACATGCTGCAGTGGGAGGCTTGGGAAAACACAGGTGCTCTTCAATTTAAGAATTCTCGATGATGCAGGAGAAGGTAGGCTCCAGAGCAGGAGCCGGGCACCTCAGCCCACTGCCAAGAGATAGTGGTAGTGGTCTTGACGGGCCACCAGAGGGTGTGTTTGCTGGCTCGTGGATGGTTTTGAGGTGTTCCTAATGTTATTAAACCACTCTTGTCGGTGAGTGCAGGGCCAATGCAAGTGTTAACGCCATGAAAAGATGCTTGTGAGTCAAATGGACAGTAATGAAAAAGGGAAGTGGTCAGAAAAATAAGGACAGAGAGTGAATTAGCAGCAGGTGAGGAGCCATGGCTGGTGAAGGAGAAACCCACATGGCAGTGAGCTGGAGGGTCAGTGCACATGCTGGAGGCCTGGTGGCTTCGGGGAATTCAGGTGGCGTCTTGGGAACTGCAGATCTGGGGCCAGACATGGCAGATGGCCTGTTGGGGATCTTATCTTTCAGAACATGAATGGCGCTTTCTTTTTCTTTCCTTTTTTTTTTTTTTAAGATTTATTTATTTGAAGGAGTTAGAGGGAGAGACAGAGATCTTCTGTCCATGTGCTGGTTCACTCCCTAGATGGCCACAACGACTGAGACTGGACCAGGCCGAAGCCAAGAACTTCATCTGGGTCTCCCATGTGAGGGACAGGGGCCTAAGCACTTGGGTCATCTTCTGCTTTTCCCAGGCCATAGCAGAGAGCTGGATCAGAAGTGGAACAGCTGGGATTTGAACTGGCACCCGTATGAGATGCCGGAACTGCAGGGGGCAGCTTTACCTGCTACACCACAATGCTGCACACCCCACCCTCCCACCTCATTACCCTTTCAGACCTTGTGCATCTGAGTGAGAGAGGTGGTGGTGTCTGTGGGATCTATAGCTTCTGGGTCATCTCCGTGAGCCTTTCAAAGTGCATCAAGGAGTGGCACCTGCTAGTAGAGATTCAGTGTAAATGTGGCTGGTCCATGATGGAAACAGTGTTTGCTGTATGCAAGGAAAAGGGAGGACCTTGAGAATATAACCCTAAATGTACCTTAAAACTGACTTTCAGGGTTTACCATGTTCATGAGTAAGTGAACCTCTTCTGTACCTGGTAAATGTGAGATACAGAGATGATGGTTGTTTTGTTTTTTTAAATAGAACCTGTTTTTTTTTTTTCCTTTCTTTTCTTTTTTTGAAGATTAATGAATTTATTTGAAAGGCAGAGCAGCAGAGAAAGATATATCTTTCGTCTACTGGTTCACTTTTTTTTTTTTTTTTTTTTTGACAGGCAGAGTGGGCAGTGAGAGAGAGAGACAGAGAGAAAGGTCTTCCTTTTTTCCATTGGTTCACCCTCCAATGGCCGCTCCGGTGGTGCGCTGCAGCCGGCGCACTGCACTGATCTGAAGCCAGGAGCCAGGTGCTTTTCCTGGTCTCCCATGGGGTGCAGGGCCCAAGGACTTGGGCCATCCTCCACTGCACTCCCTGGCCACAGCAGAGAGCTGGCCTGGAAGAGGGGCAACCGGGACAGAATCCGGCGCCCCGACCAGGACTAGAACCCGGTGTGCTGACGCCACAGGCAGAGGATTAGCCTATTGAGCCACAGCGCTGGCCCAACTGGTTCACTTTCCAAATGGCCATAGCAGTCAGGTCTGGGATAGGCTGAAGCCAGGAGCCAGGAATTCCTTCCAGGTCTTGCACATGAGTGGCAGGTGCCCAAGCACTTGGGGTAATCTTGTGCTGCCTTCCCAGGTGCATTAGCAGGAGCTGGATCAGACACTCCGATTTGGGGTGCAGATGTCGCAGGCAGTGGCTGAACTTGCTATGCCACAGCGCTGGCCCCAGTGCTCTGGTTTCAGTATTGACCTACACATTTTGGCAGTGGATGTTAAAAGGGCCTGCTGTGATGGCTTATGTTTATATTTTGGGTTTCTTCTTGTGGAATAAATTCGTATCCAGACACACACACCCCTTTCTTTGCTTATTTTGGAGCCAGCTTCAAAGGTTCACCGTTTTTGTGGACTCAGGTAAACGGTGACGTTACTGCCAACGCTGGCCTATTCTGACTGTACTTCCTTTTCCTAGGTGTGGCCAACTTAGCAGCCTGCCTGACACACAGGGCTTGCTGCCTGCCCTGCGTGCTGAGCTGACAGTGATTTCCCGAGAAACCTTGGGTTGGGTCCTTGAGTAATCATAGCTGTGGCAGATTTTTCAGAGTACTTGGTAGTGCTTTTCACAAGTAGTAGGAGCAGGGCAGGAAATGTGTCCATGTGAGTAGAAGTTCCATTCTGCTGAGGTTTGTAAGATGTGATGTGGATTTTGTGTCGCATGTTTTCAGGATGGGGCTGCCATGCCATCTGAATATTTGGCATCTCTTTTAGATGATCGCTGCTGTCTCCTGGTAAGGCAGGACCACCGTGAGGCTGGGGTCACAGAAGTTATCCCTGCAGAGGCCCTGGCTTTCCTTTTGTGGCCACCCAGCTCCGTGCACGGCCTGTGTGTGTGCGTGCACACCCCAGGCCCAGGAGGGGAGGCCTGCACAAGTCACTGCAGATGCTCCCAAGCTCGGGCCTCTGTCCTGCTGTGCAGTTGTCTGCTCCCTTCATTGGATTTCATCTTTTGTTTGTTTTTCATTGTAGGTATAGCCTTTCCTTCATACCATTTGCAAGGTAAGACTATTTGGAAATGTCATTTCTGTGGTTTGAGGATGGTATATTGGCACAGGGCCTTTTGGTTTTGAAAGTGTGTTCAGAGGGTACCTGCTGTTTTACCTATCTGTACTGAAGTCCTTTAAACCAGATAGGCAAATGTTGTATATATTTTTCACAGGGGAGTAGCTGAGGGTCACCTTTCCACCCACCCTGATTATATGGGGGTTGTTCCAAGGTGGAAAATGGAAGGGATCAGTTTATTTGGTACAAACTACTTGGAAATCCCTGCATAGTTTCCCTGTAATACACATATTCCGTGAACTTTTTGAAGACCCCTTCATACAGCTAATGATGGGTGTGGCCTAGGCCATCATTTCCTGGTGTCACGAACCTTGTCCTGTGTGCACATTATCATTCTTTCACTCTGTAGCTTTGAGTAGGCTTTTCCCCCCAAAGTGACTATTATAACCTTACCATCATCGAACAAGAAACGGGCATCTCAATCTGTGCTTGTTTTCTTCCAGTATCCCACTTAGGGGAAAGCATCAGAAGAGGTTATAAAGGGGAAGTGAGCAAGGCCAGGGCTTCCCAAGTAGCAGGTGACCTTGGGCGACTCTCTCAACCCCTGCAGCTTCAAATGAGGCATTGGTAACTAGAGTGGGTGGATTAGTCCATCCCCAGAGGCCCTTCCCTGCCCTGAACCTCCTTACGAAAGCACTTTTCTTAATGGGCCTCTGACTCTGTTCTAATGCAGCCATTTGGTTTCCATTCTTCTCTGTCATTACCTGTTAACGGCAAGCAAGCTTTCCCTTAAATGTGCAGGAGCCTGGAAGGTGGGAAGATCAGTCTGTTTCTGCAGCATTCCACGTCTGCTGCTGCCAGTGGTTTGGAAGTTCTGGGGAGTGATTGATCAGGCGGGTCATTAAGCTGATCATGTTACAGCTCATCGTGCTAGAAGCTGGCTGTCTTTATGGATGGCCCTGGGAGGACAGCAGTTATGAGTCGACTCCGTGAGGGAAGGCCTGGCCAGTTGTGGGATGGTGGCTTATCTGAGAAGAGCGTGGGCAGGGATGTCCTGAGAAGCCAAGTTTTTATGTGAAGTAAGCCAGAGCACATCATGTGTGAGTAGCCACTGAGGTACTGGCTAACCTGCCAGTGTTTTGAGTGTATCTGGTGCTTGATCCAGCTGTATAATTTGCAGGAAGGGCCCAGTGCAAAATACAAGTATGGGCTCCTTGTTCAAAAATGATTAAGACTTTTAAGATGGCAACATCAAGGTGTTAGTCCAGATGTAGACCCTTCTAAATAGAGGTCCAGGGCAATTGCTCAGGGCTCACTCACGAGCCTGAACTTGCTTGGTGTCGTTCCTCAGGACTTCAGGTTTGCTCTGGATTGGCGTGTGTAGGTCTTAACAGACAAGGGAATAGAACTGGGAATTCTGTTTGAAGCAGTGAGTTTCACGTGCTAAGCTGATGAAAATTTCCTATAGCCAGGAGGGAGTCACAGTGCTGGGTCCTACCCTTCTGTTTGTAGCTTCCCCTGGAGTAGCTTTTCCCACTGTGTTCCACAGAAATGTGCTTATGTGGAAGAAAAGGGGCCTCTGAGCAAGTACCTGGGCAACAGGTTAAGTCTAGTCAGGCGGGTTCCTTGTTGCCTGGCTTTCCCCATCTTTAATAGGCTGTGTGTGTTGTACACTGCCACAAGGGGCACTTCCCTGGTAGAACATTTCCTGGGACTACAGTGTAGACCCTGTCTCAGGACGTGCAGCCCTAGAGTCGTTAGTGCTGAAATGCAGTGTTGTCTCACGGGTACATTTACTCACCTCTCCTTCCCTCGTGTGCCTCCCGGTGTCCTTAGCGCAAGTGCAGCTGGGAGCCTGGCAGGAGCCATGTTGGGGGCAGGTGGGGAGGCTTGCTGGGATGGAGGCATAGTTGTCAGGTGCCTGCTTTGTCCTTGCACTCCCTGCACTGATTTTCCAGGGGTAGATGCCTGGGATGGGGCTCTCAGTGTGTGAATAAGTGCTCGGTACCTACGGAGACTCCCTGTGCTAGTGAGCTCCTGATGGATGTCCCTTTAAGAGTTCCCACCGCTTGGTTAGAATGAAAGAAGCCTCGAATCAGTGTTTGACTTAAGGCGTTCAGTGAGTTCTGTGATTGTGGCTGACGTGGAAGTAGCAGTCCTGATTCCCGTGTCTGGAGGCCTGTACTTTCTTCCTGTTTTACACTGCTTGTGATGATAGCTATCATTTATTACCTATCTATTCTATTCAATGCACCAATTCCTACAACTTGTCTATGGGGGGGCGGTATCCCCTCTTATAGAGGAGGAACTTGAAACTCAAACAGGACAAGTGACTCATCCAGGTTAATCCTGCCAAGAAGTGTCAAAGCTGCAGCTTGCTGTCCAGGAGGTCTGATGTCCAGCAAAGTCTAAGGGAAGGTCTTTACTTGACACAGGAACGGTCCTGGGGGCGGGGGTGGGGGGCGTGCCGTCCAGGAGGTCTGATGTTGCCATTGAGGCAGTTTCTACTCTGCTGTGTGCTATTCCAGGTGCCCAGCAAAGTCTAAGGGAACCCTGGAGGGTGAGGGATGCTCTCCTACTCATCTTTGTTTTTTCCTTTCCAGGGATGCGGTGAAGAAGTGTTTTACTGTGTGTCTTGCATAATACACTGCCACTTGTGCAAAACTTTGGAAGGCACTGCGGAGCAGAAGTCGGAGGCCTGTTGTGTAAATATCTGCTACATCTCTGTCTTACAGGGTGTGCTTTTTATCTTGTAGCAGTGTGTTGCTTGCAGTTTGGACATTGGAGGGTTGATTTTGGAAGCAACAGAGTGTTCCTAAACCCAAATGTCTGTAGCACAATACGAGAGGTGTGTTCTGGGTCTTATGGAGTCAGATCTTTCTCACGCACCTGTTTCTTCTTTAGATGGTGTCCCACCAAATTCTCATGAATAAAACCTTGTTCAGCAGCAGCAGCTAAGCTTCCGGGGCCAGTGATTCCCAGGTGGTGACAGACAGCCCCCCTGGAGATCACGGGAGGTGAAAGTGAGAGACACTGGGGTCAGCAGGGACTTTGCAGACATGTCTCTCAGCATGGAAACTGTCCCCACTGCTGCCCACAGCAGGGACCTCCTTCTGCTTTGTGTCTGAGAGCAGGTGATTCTGCTGTGCCGTGGAGTGAAGTAGAGAATCAGCACTTTTTCGTGATGGCAGGATTTTTTCTTCCTCTGAACATAGGTATTCTTGCTATTCTAATTCTACAGCTGACGGTGGAATCTATTTTGGAGCATTGAGCACAGACCCCTTACTTTTCTGTGGCTCCCTGTTCTCCTTGGCCTTTACTCTGACCTCCTAGCACTCAGGAGAGAGAGAACAAAGCACACAGAAAACACTGCTCTTTCCTTTTGGACTAGGGCCAAGGAGAGGTGAAAAATCTTGCTGCTCTCTGCTGTATTTTTTTCGTTCATTTTTTATGAATGTTTGCTGTTCAGTTGGTTTTATTTTCTGTTCTCTCTAGAGCAGGGCCTGGCAAAAGTAGGTAAAGACAGATCCCTGCTGTGGAGCCAACAGGAAGTAGGTTACCTTTACACAATCCTGGCCTTTGCACTCAGCCTGTGCTGGAGACATGGGGAGGACACCATGGACTGCAGGTCATTGTGCCCCAGCCTGGTGCCTGCCCAGTGTGTTTATATCTGTGACGTAGTGTCCATTGTTATCCCACTGTGCAGTCAAGAAAATTGAGGCCCACACTAGTTTCTGAATCCACGCGGAACACAGCTGCAGCAGAGTTGAACCAGATGCTGGCTGCCCCGGCTTCAGACTCCACTACCCAGTGTCTCCCTGTGTGTCTCTGGTTGTGCTTCCTGTAACAATTTTCCTGGTCTTTTTTTTTTTTTAATCAGCCAGGCCTTGTGCCTTTCTGGTTGTGGTCTCTGTGTGTCGCTTGTGCCATCTATCTTGCCCTCCCACCCCAGTTCCCCTTTTGGAAGCTTCCTCTGAGTGTGTAGGATGTTCCTTGTTCTCTTGGGTTCCCTTTCAGCTCCTCCTTGCCCCTGACCACTGTTAGTGCCCCATCTTGATCAGCCAGAGTTCCTGGTGCTCCAGGATCTGCAGAGCCCCCTGCACTGAAGTCTCTGGGTTTGCCTTTGTGCTCTTTACCCAGGGCCAGCCGGCCTACTCAGCCTCCTGCTCTGGCTGTCTCCTTGCATGTGGCTGAAATCCACCATGGCTGAGAACTCAGACTGACCGCATTTCTCAGGAGCTGGGGAGCTGATGGCCTGATGCGGGCCAGTCTTCCTGAGCCCTGTGTAGGCTGTTGGGGGTGCTTGCTGAGGTTCCCAACCTGCATTCAGCCAGGGAAGAAAATTATTTGCTACCCTCTGGCTTCCGTGGGTCTCTTTGGCATCAGCTCAGACCTGGGAAGGGCTCTGGTGTCAGAAGCGGTATGAAAGAGATCAGGAGCACTCATGGTTCCTCTTTAGAGTGGGTGTGAGGCCAGGCTGGTCACGGAAGAGCTCCAGCCGGCTTGGAGTAGTGCACCTAGAAGGCTGACCCCTCTGCCCATTTTAGAGGCTGGACTTCGTGGGGCGTGAGGCTTGGTACCTCTAAGAGTCACCGGGTTGTTAGTGTTAGCAGTGGCTTAGTCACACACTGGTAGTGTTGTGTTGAACAAGTTCTGTAAGCTCGCTTCCTGTTTCTGCCTCTAACAGCAGTGGAGACAGCAATCCCCACTGGATCACTGCAGAATGTCGGTGAGTTAGGTGTCGGGTGCTTAGCGTGGGGCCAAGCGTAGAATCTCAGTGAAGGGGAAGTGTTACCTAACCCGAGAAGTGCCTGGTAACCCATGAAGGTGACAGGATGAACATTAATCTGTCTAACAAATATTTGGTGCTGTCTGGCACTCTAGACTCTGCCCGGTATTTAATATTCCCGGTCTCTGCCAGGCTGGTTGGGTTGTCTGCGTTGTTATAGAGAAGGAGCAGCCTTGCAGGACGGGGACCGGCACCAGCTCTCACCAGTAGAGGGCGTCGGGGGTTCCTGGCAGAGAGCAGTCTCTGGTGAAGGCTTCAATCCTGGTCTGTGGCCGGCTTGCTCACACAGCTCTGGTCATGACGGACTCTATCAGGATCTTCTAAACGGAAGTTTCCCTGCAGTTGCCATATGCTGTGGTGGGCTTGTGCAGTCTGTGGGAAGAGGGAGTCCATTTCAGATCTGAAGTCTGTTCCCTAGCAGCAGCACTGGGTTGGTAATTTAGTGGGAGGGACGTGGCTGGCAGTAGTCTCTACCCTGACGCCTTCGCTGCTGGGTGAGGGAGTGGTCAGTGCATTTCAGGAAGGAAGGGAACCTTTAGGGTGACTGTCGGTATCAGCCAAAGGTACACTTCCAGCTATGTGGGAGCACTGGCCCTGGTGCTCTGGTGCCTGGGCCGTTGGCCCTGTGGACACTGCATGGGGAGGAACATTGCCTCCAGACCAGGGGAGGCAGCTTTCAGTCTCCTAGGTGCCCTCCCCATTCTCCACAGCCCCCAGAGACTGCTTGTTTTTTTTCAGGGTCGTCATATGTTCTAACTCACTGGCCCCTACCTCCTGTCTCCCTAGCAAAACGGCTCTTGCAGACTGTGCTCTAGGGAGCTATGGGTTGTCCAGCTCTGTGTGGCCACAACCCAGCTTGAGGTGTCTCGTCACTGGGAATGGTGAAACACTGTCCCGGGTTAGCATCTTTGCCAGCTTGCCTGTCGCGGTGCTGGGGCGTCTGTCTCTCAGCCTCATACAGTGACTTTGAGGATTATCTACCCGAGAGCCACCTCCCTTCTAATTAGCACGTGTTCAGCAAAAGTGATGTCATGAAATGCATTCCAAGTGAAATTACTTGTTAATTCCACCATTAGAGCAGGTAATAAGTGCACTGTACCTTTAAAAAAGGCTTTGGCTGGTTTGGTTTCTGCTTTTGAGGTCCCTGTTGAAGCTGTTGCTTTGCACTGGAAGTGGTGAGACTTAGTGGGATGAGCTTGGGAAATCAAAGGGCAGCCCTGGATTTCCTTTCCCGTGGGACAGACTGCTCCAGGCCTCCCCACCTCTGCTCACACAACTTCTGATTACAGTCGGCTGCAGGATTACAAATACCTTAAAGTTCATAGCCTTTCCTGAAGCCTCACTTTGAGCAAATAAATTAAAAATCAGTGTTTAAAAGTACGTGAAGCTGTTTGCTAGATTTTGGGGGCATAGTTTTTAAAATTTAAAAACCCATGTTTGCTTTTGTAAGCTCAAGATATGCTGCAGTTTATTTTTCAGATATCATTTTTCAGCCAGTTCATAGACCTTTAGCTGAAGTTACATACAGACTCATGCTTATATAACTCATGATAAGCTGTCAAAAATCTACAAGTCCAAGTTGTTTAGAAATTTTTCTTTAAAAACAAGGTGTGTGTTGTTAGTCAGGTAACCAGGAAAGTGCTGTGGAGTTTATTTGATCACCCAAAATAGGGTGCTTGGTTCCGCTTTGGTTAGTTCCACTTACACCCCAAATACACAGGTGGCGCCCCCTAGCGCTGCTGCTGCTTAACTTTGCTGTCTATTGGGTTATGTTTTTGGGCAGGAGCTGGCAAACTGTTAAATGGCTTAGGAGATGTACAGGATATTTCTGTAGACAGGATGATCTAAAACCAGGAGAAGCGTTGCTGTTTAAAATGAAAGATCAATCTACAGCATTATAATGAACAACAATGTATGTGTTCACAACAAAGCAATGCCACTACGCTTGATCAGCAGACACAAGAATCAAAAATAAAGCAAGATAAAAAGGACATGTGTTCCCTGGTAGAAATGGACTGGCTGCCTGGACTTAGCACCTTGCACAGCAGCTTTCAACATCCAGCTGAGGCTGGAACCTGGGTGAACGTCACGCTTTGCCTCTCAGATGTCCCTAGCACAAGACGTGATACGCTGTGTACTAAGTACAGATGAACTTGTGATTTTGTCATTTCCTGAAGCAGAGCCAGAGTTTACCTTCGATTCTGTGGCCTTTCTGCTATGAAAAGTGTTTATTTTGCCATTTTCAATGTGTTTGCTTGAATACCGGAATGAAAAAAACAAATCGCTCTGAATTCAGATCTCTGGCTGCATTTGTATATTGTGCTTATGACCTGGCGTGGGGCCGTTCTGTAGCCCATAGTGAGTTTATATGCCTTCAGAACACTGTGCCTCTTCTCACATGATGAGCTCTTAAAACACTTCGTTAAAACATGAATCCATTTTTATAATTGTAGAGACACACATAGCTAATTTTGAATGCTACTGATTGCATAACTGAATTTTTATATCTAAAAATATATTCTTGAGTATGATTTTTTGTAACTTGGGAATCTATTTCATATAATAAATATTGTGTTCCTTTTACTAACTTATTTTAAAAAGAACATTGCTGGTAACCAAGCTGCCTCTCCCCCACATCACAATTATTAATTTGCTTATTTTCTTCTCCAATAAATGTTAGTAAAATCATCTTTAATAAATTGAGTGTTGTCTCTTATTCATGTGTGTTTTTTACTATTGTATAACTATAAGAAAAGATCACATCCTTAATTTGAAATCTTGATGTACAGGCACGTAAGGATGGTTATTTTCAGCTAGATTGATATGTAGTCCTCTCTTTGAAATTACCTGGGTTTAACCTGGGTTTAAGGACAGTTTTGAAGGTGTTTGAAGGGTAAGAAATTTCCTGAAGTATTTGTTTTTGAATATTTCTGCATCCTCAGCTGGTTTAACTCTTTGGTGTAAACTAGGTTATCAAATTATTGATATTAAAGCTGTCCATAATAACCCAGTCCTCTAGTATCTGTAACATTTGTACTTAGACCCCATCTTTAATTGCTAATATTAATGTGAGTCTTTTGTTGTTGTTGCTTTGACCTATGTAACTAGATCTTTTTTTTTTTTTTTTAAAGATTTACTTAGTTATTTGAAAGGCAGAGTTACAGAGAGGCAGAGGCAGAGGGAGAGGAAAAGAGAGAAAAAGAGAGAGAGAGGTCTTCCATCCGCTGGCTAACTCCCCAGATGGCTGCGATGGCTGGAACTGTGCCAGTCTGAAGCCAGGAGCCAAGAGTTTCTTCTGGGTCTCCCACGTGGATGCAGAAGCTGAAGGACTTGGGCCCTCTTCTACTGTTTTCCTGTAGCAGAGCACTGGATCGTGGAAGTGGAGCAGCTGGCACTTCAGGTGGCAGTTATGCACCGTGCCATAGCACTAGCCCCTAGAACACATGTTTAACAAAGGAAGATGCATGAGTGGACAGCAAGCACATGTATTGTATTATCATGTGAGGTTTTTTTTTAAAAAAGTATAGACTTAAAGATACATTCTTACATGATAATATAATAAGCATGCAAGTTAGGATAGTGATGATTATGGGGAGGACAGAGAACAGAGGGAAATGTTGAAAGGGGAGTGGATGTGAGGGTGCCACTGGGTGCTGGTCCTGTCTTCTGTGATCAAGTGGTAGCTCCCTGGTATGTGGGAAGTCATACTGTATTTTTTGTTTGTATACTTCTGTGACATGATATGTTTTACAATAGAAGAATCAGCTTTTGGTTTCATTAATTTTCACTATTGGTTGTCATATAGCTGATTTTTTTCTCTTTATTTTCTTCTTGTGCTTGCTTTGTGTGTTTAATTTGTTCTCTATTTAAGGTTTAACCTTTTTAGACCTTTTTGCCTTTATAATACTATTTAAGCTATAAATTTCCCTTAAAGCACTGCATTAACTACATCTTGCACATTTTGATAGGTGGTATTTTCATTTTAATTCAGTTTAAAATAGTTTCTTATTATCCTGTGATTTCTTTTTTGACCTTTTGATCATATGTACTTAGAAGTACATTTAATTTCCAAGCATTTGGGAGAACTTTTTAGAAGTCTATTACTGGTTTTAAATTTAGTTTGACTGTAGTTAGAAAACATCTGAAATGATTTTAATCTTTATAAATGTCCTGGGCTTTAGTTGGAGAGGAGTTCCAAAATGGTGGAATAGGGAGGGAGCTTACTGCTCTAGTCCAGGGGAAGATAGTTTAAAAAAAGTGGAGAGTGCAGTTTCAGGGAAGAGTTTGTGAGAAAATGGCAGAGGAAACTCCACACAAATTAGAGGGACACAGTGGACCTAGGTGGAGGGCGTTGATGCCCACAACTTAGGACCCCAGCAGCCAAGAGCCTATGCACCAGTGTTGGAAAATGAGGTAAGACCAGACTGCAGCAGCCCAAGACACTGGCGCTAAAGCTTCAGGAAGAGCCTAGAGGGAACCCAGCTTGGAGCTCTGTAGGGGATAGTGTACACGCCAAACTAGAGGAGAAAAAAAAAAAAAAAAAAAAAGGTCATATTCCTCTTTCCCCAGTGGCGTCCTATAACAAGCCAATAGAGTGGGTGCCATTTTGGACATACATAACAGCTGCACCAGCTCATGTCTGCGCCCAGCAACCAGCTGAGTGGAGACTCCTGACTCTGGTGGGGAGAACTAACAGGGAGCTGGGAGTTCATGCTCTGGGAGGCATCTGTGCTGGGACCGTGAAAAAAACAGGCTGTGTAGGAGGACTCATGATGTGGCTGGGACTTTGGGAAGTCACTGTGGGAGACTCTACATGCTCAGGGCTTCCTTTTTACTTGGTGAGGGACATTGCTGGGGAATCTGAGCTTACACTGAGGACTGCACAGATCCTTTGTGTGGTACTTGGGGCAGAGCGGATGAATATTATACCCACTGGGGCTAGTGCCTAGGTACTGGTCTCCTTTGAGGAGAAGAGCTCAGCTGAGCAGAATAAACTTCTCTTCTGATTAAAAAAAAAAAAAGATTTACTGAGCCAAACCTGGGTGTGTCACCTTAGACATGCTCTTCACCCTGGAGAACTGAGCAGAGCTCCCTGGCCACAGCCTCTAGATATTCACTGAAAGCAGACACTCCACTTATCTACAGAGGAATAGTACAAAGATAAAAGCTACCACAGCAAAAAACAAACAAAAACCAAAGAAGAAACCAAAGAGTATCTCCACAAATGCTGAACAACAAACGCACTAGTTCAAGAAACAAGAATAAGGAAGACAACATGATGCCCCCAAAAGAACACAACACTTCAATACTAGATTGTGAAGATGATGAGATGGAAGAAATGCAAGAAATGGAATTAAAATTACAGGATTATATAAAAGTAATCAGAACCAAATGACAAACTACTGAAATCTGTACATGAGATGAAATTCAGATCTTAAAGAGAAATCAAAAAAAAAAAAAAAGAATTCAATTGGTGCTTACATCAAGAAGTTGGAAAGACGAAATAAATGAACTATCAATGCATATCAAGAAAACAGCAAACCAGTAGGAGAAAAGAAAAAATTAGAGAAGAAATAAACAAAAAATCCAAAAAAAATAATACAAAAGATCAGCAAAATGAAGAGCTGGCGTTTGAAAAAAAAAATTTTGACACACCATTGGCCCAACTAACCAAAAAAAGGAGAGAGAAGAAACAAATCAATAAAATTAGAGATGAAAAATGAAATGTAACAGACACCACAGAAATAAAAAGAATCATCAGACATTACTACAAAGAGTAGTATATGCCAACAAACTGGGCAACCTAGAAGAAATGGATTCCTGAACACATTTCTTACCTAAACTGAGCCATGAAGACACATAGAAAACCAAAATAACCAATAACCAAGATGGAAATTGAATCAGTAATAAAGGCCCTTCTAACAAAGAAAAGCCCAGGACTGGATGGCTTCACTGTTCAGTTCTACAAGACATTTAAACAAGAACTAATTCCAATTCTTAAGTTATTCAAAACAAAGAGAGGAAATTCTCCCAAATTCTTACTACGAAGCTAGCATCAGCTTAATTACTAAACCTGAAAAAGATGCAACAGAGAGAATTACAGATGATTTTCTCTGATGAACATAAATACAAAAATCCTCAACAAAATTCTGTCCGATTGAATCCAACTATACCTTGGAAGGATCATCCACCCAGACCAAGTGAGATTTATCCCTGGTGTGCAGGGATGGTTCAACATTCACAAATCAATCAATGTGATACATCACATCAACAAACTGCAGAACAAAAATCATATGCTTATCTCAATAGATGTAGAGAAATCATTTGATAAAATACAACACCCTTTCATGATGAAAGCTGTAAGCAAATTGGGTATAGAAGGAACATTTCTCAACACAATAAAGGCAATTTATGACAAACCCATGGCCAGTATCCTATTGAATGGGGAAAAGTTGGAAGCATTCCCACTGAGATCCAGTACCAGACAGGGATGCCCGCTCTCACCACTGCTATTCAATATATTCCTAGAAGTTTTAGCCAGAGCCATTAGGCAAGAAAAAGAAATCAAAGGGATACAAATTGAGAAGGAGGAAGTTAAACTATCCCTATTTGCAGATGACATGATTCTATATGTATTGGATCAAAAAAACTCCACTAAGAGACGATTGGGATTCATAGAAAAGTTTGGTATAGTAGCAGGATATAAAGTCAATACACCAAAGTCAACAGCCTTTGTATACACAATGCCAAGGCTGAGATTGAGCTTCTAAGATCAATCCCATTCACAGTAGCTACACAAAAAACAAATACCTTGGAATAAATTTAACCAAGGATGTCAAAGATCTCTACAATGAGAATTACAAAACATTAAAAAAAAAAAAAGAAATAGAAGAAGATACAAAAAAATGGAAAAATATTCCATGTTCATGGACTGGAAGAATCAATATCATCAAAATGTCCATTCTTCTGAAAGCAATTTACAGATTCATTATGATACCTATCAAAATACCAAAGACCTTTTCAGATCTAGAAAAAGTGATGCTGAAATTCATATGGAAACACAGAAGATTTCGAATAGCTAAAGCAATCTTGTACAACAAAAACAAAGCTAGAGGCATCACAAAACCAGATTTCAAGACCTACTACAAGGCAGTTATAATCAAAACAGCTTGGTACTGTACAAAAACAGATGGATAGAGCAATGGGACAGAGTAGAAACACCAGATATCAATCCAAACATCTACAGCCAGCTTATATTTGATCAAGGAGCTAAAATCAGTCCCTGAAGTGAGGACAGTCTCTACAACAAATGGTGCTGGGAAAACTGGATTTCCACATGTAGAAGTATGAAGCAAGATCACTACCTTACACCTTACACAAAAATCCACTCAGCATGGATTAAAGATCTAAATCCACGACCCGACACCATCAAATTAGTAGAGAACATTGGGGAAACCCTGCAAGACATTTGCACAGGTAAAGACTTCTTGGAAAAGGCCCCAGACACACAGGTAGTCAAAGCCAAAATAAACAACTGGGATTACATCAAATTGAGAAGTTTCTGTACTGCAAAAGAAGCAGTCAGGAAAGTGAAGAGGCAATCGATAGAATGGGAGAAATTATTTGCAAACTATGCAACTGATAAAGGATTAATAACCAGAATATACAGAGATCAAGTAACTCCACAACAACAAGACAA